CCCCCCCCCCCCCCCCCCCGGAAGGAAGGAAGGCATAGAAGAAAAAGGACTGGATTGCTGGATCAATAAAATGCTTGCAACCACGAGAATTAAAGTTTGCTCCCCAGAATCATCTGGGTTACAGAAAAACAGAAAGCCAGATGTTTTGGCCATGTGCTTCTACCCCAGTGCTGGGGAGGTAGAGGCAGAAAGGTCCCTGGGCTCACTGTCTGGTCAGCCCAACAGCAAGCTCTAGCTCAGTGGATCTCAACCCTCTGAGTGCTATGATCCCTTTAATACAGTTCCTCACATTCTGGTGACACCCCCACCAAAAGATTATTTTTGTTGCTAATTTGTAAGTATAATTTTGTTGCTGTTATGACTAGTACTATAAATATCTGTGTTTTCTGATGAGCTTAGGCAATAACTGTGAAAGGGTTGTTTGACTACCAAAAGGGTTGGGATCCACTGCTCTGGACCAATGACAGTCCCTATTTCAAAAATGTAAGGTGAACAGGCATAATGGCATGTGTTCAGTCCCCGCACCTGCAAAGGCAGGCAGCTGAGTTCAAGGCCGGCCTGGTAGACATAGAGCGCTCCAGGCTATTCATGGCTGCACAGTGAGATCCTGGGTCAAAAACATACAATCAAGTGGACAGCTTTTGAGAAATAATATCTGGGGTTGTCTTATGCGTACACACATGCATGCACACACACACACCACATGGCGGGGGGGCAAGAATAAAGTAAAAAGAGAAGCATGGACAGACTTACTTAACTGCCAAATGTCCATTTGTATTAAAGGCCAGAGCAGTGGGATATATGACACCACATATCACACCAATCAGGACACTTCTCCAAACACAGTTTTCCCGGCTTATGTCACCTGGAAAGTGAAAGCACAGTTGGTTTGCTGTCTGCAACCACAGTTCAACAAGTGGGAAGAACCTTAGGAATCCAGTCAGTCACTTCACAGGAGGAAATGGATCTTGGCTGTGGGACAACCCTTTTGTATGTTGTGAATATATTTTATTCCCTCTGGTTAATAAAACAGCTGATTTGGCCTACGGCAAGATAAGATAGAGCCAGATGGAAAATCCAAGAAGAGATTCAGGGAGAAGGGCGGAGTCAGATGCCAGCCAGCCGGAGGAGAAGCACGAAGTATTACAGCACAGGTAAAGCCACAAGACATGTGGCAAAACATTGATTACTAGAAATGGGTTAATTTAAGTTGTAAGAGCTAATTAGTAGTAAGTCTGAGCAATAGGGCAAACAGTTTGTAATTAATATTAAGCCTCTGAGTGATGATTTTAAAAGCGGCTGTGGGACTCAGCGGGACAAAAAGCCTCTGTTTACACATCTTGCTTTAAAACTCTACTTGCTATACTTTAAAAATATGGAGAAATATCATTTATGTGTGCTTTTTAAGAAGGAATGTTCCATAAGAATATTAACCTATCACATCCGATACCTGAATTCTAGGTGGGTACACATACGCATCGTTTCCTATGTGTCAGGTAGACGCTAGATGCCAGGAATTTAAGTGTCCCTGAGATAGACCTTTCGGTGAAGCATGGTGTTACATGTCTTTAATCCTAGCACTCGGGAGGCAGAGGCAGGCAGATAGAGTTTGAGGCCAGTCTGGTCTCAGCCTGGTCTACAGAGTGAGTTCCAAGACAGCCAGGGCTACAGAGAAAAACAGAAAGAGAGAGAGGAGAGAAAGAGACATGGCTTCTAGTCAGTATATTAGGGAAGAAAGTCATTAGACGAACATTAGAGAAAAATGCTAAGAGGGCTGGAGAGAGACCAGTATTTGAGCACCTGCTATTCTCAGAGGACCCGCATGGTGGTTCACAACCATTCCATTATGTACTGAAGAATTTACATTCACCTGACTCCAAAGCATGAGTTACAAAGAGCTTGAAGGTCACGATGGTAGACACAAACGGAATGGTAGTCAAGGATACATAGGTCTTCAGGGCTTCATGCTTAACCTTGAAACTGTCTCTGAAAATGATGTTTGCCAGTAGTCCAGACACTGCACTAGTAGTCCCAAAGAAGAAAGTTCCAACAATATAAGGCCTGGTCGGACCAAAGAAAAACACTAAGATTAACACAACGTTCTTGAAATGGATCTATTCTTTCTTCAGTAGTTAAAAACTACAACTTTTACCCAGCATCAAATATTTCTTGTTATTCGTAGCAGGCACATATTTCTATATAGTATGGCAGTCAGGCTCTAAAGCCATAGGCCACACCTGAGATGGTCACATACCCTTCCAGACAGGCTGTCGCTACCCTAACAAAAGGTCAGGATGTTGGCTCTGGTCCTTTCTTTGTAATTTGGAGGATGCCTGAAACGAGGTGCTAATTCAAGCCTATGTGACTGAGCTAGCATACAGAGCAGGAAGACATGATAGCAAGCACAGGTAGATGTGGACGTGACTAAAAGCCACTCACTTGGTTACCTAGGAAACAAAATGCTAATGATTTCACCCCTCAGTTTATGTTTTGATATATAAGGCTGTTTGGAGAATAAAGCGAGAGGAAAATTCTTCAGCATGTGAACTCAGGATTTCATGAGGGATCACAGAGAGTCTCTCCTGATAAAGCTATGTGAGTTGTGTCTTCATTCCCACACCCGTCTAGAGAGATAGTTTATGTTGGGTTCTGGTCAACAGAAATAATAGGGTCTGGGCTAGCACCGGATCCTGACAGTTATTAAAATAGTTGCCTCAAAGAAAAACAAATGTTTGTTTAAGATCATCTAGAAAAGAAAGCTATTTTCACTTGGCTAGCCTGTCTAGAAAAGAACGAGTTGTGAATTGGGCCAGATACATTTGAAATAATTTGTCTATGGTTTATGAAACTTCACTGAACATCTGACAGAGTTGGTTTAGTTTAATTCTGGCTCATACCCAAATCAATAAAGCTCTAAAATTTAACCGTTGTTTACATTATTCTTGAGATATATGTGCATCAGGGAGGGGGTACACATGTGCACACATGGATGTGTATCAGGGAGGGGTACACATGTGCACATCATGGATGTGTCAGGGAGGGGTACACATGTGCACACATGAACATGAATGTGTGTCAGGGAGGGGGTACATGTGTGCACACATGGATGTGTGTCAGGGAGGGGTACACATGTGCAAACACGAATGTGTCAGGGAGGGGCACACATGTGCAAACATGAATGTGTGTCATGGAGGGGTACACGTGTGCAAACATGAATGTGTGTCAGGGAGGGGGTACACGTGTGCAAACATGAATGTGTGTCAGGGAGGGGTACACGTGTGCAAACATGAATGTGTGTCAGGGAGGGGTACACGTGTGCAAACATGAATGTGTCAGGGAGGGGTACACGTGTGCAAACATGAATATGAGGTTGATATTGGGGACTATCTATCCATGAATGTTCTTTATTAATTCAGACATGCTCAAAGACTACTAGTTTTGCCTGCCAGCTTGCTCTGGAGATTGACTGTCTCTGTCTTCTAAGGCTGGAACTGCTGTATACCTCAAATTTCTATGGGTTTCTGGGGATTCAAACTGTAGTCCTCAAACAAAAAGAGCTTTGACCACTAAGTCACCTTCCCAGCCTTGCTAAACTGACTTGAATTATAACTGCTCATCAGTAAAAGGTAAGTACCCTTCAAATTGGTTTCATACCAATTGCTTTTAATTTAAAAAAATATCTGTACAACTAATATTTCAGCAATAAGTTTAGGTATTTTTTTTTTTAAAAGATGTAAAAGAATGGGCTTCGTTCCCAGAACCCACATCTGAGGGCTACAGTAGCCTCTAACTCTAGTTCCGGGGGATATAACGCCTCATTTTAGCACTCCCCCCCCATGCGCATGTGCTCACATACATTGCAAAGTCACACGAACACACAAATAAAAATAATATAAAAAGAAGCAAAAGAAATTATCCAGTCTAACAAACCACCGTTTCAATCCATTGCTGTTTCAGTCCATTGATATTCCCGCCCAGTTCTTAAAGGTAAATAACTAACTAAAGCACCCTTCATAACCAGCTCAGTAAGCAGCTTTTTCCTTCTTCATGAATTGTTTATCAGTTGCGTTTTCAGAACTTTTGTAAAGGCATCTTTTGGAACTCCAGTGTTGCCAGTGTTCCTAATATATGAATATCCAGAAGATTCTCTTTTAGACCACAGTTTAAGACAGCAACTCTGGCTGCCATTGGAGCAAAGTAACTGCAAGAGAAATAGTGAAAGACAATAGGAAAACACTTTTGCAAAGTGTTATAGTGACTGTTAGGAAAAAATCCTAGACGGGCAGCTCCGCCGGTGTAATGAAATCCAATTAGATCAAATCAAATTTTAAAATGCCCATCGTTTTATTAAATACTGTGCTCTTGGGTGGCCGAGCACATGGTGGGGAGTCAGGAAAGCAGGAAGCACAAGCAAACCCTGAACCACTTGTTTCTCCTCTGGGAGCCCACTTAAACATCCTGTGGGAGTGTTCCTGGGGGAGGGGTCAGGACCTGGCATGCTGGGATTTGGAGTCCAGTCTAATGCAACTCCCAGGCCAGGGGGCTGGGATGAATGCCAGAGGCTGGGGCTATGCTCCAGACTTAAAAGTGACATTACCCATAAACAAATTTTGAAAAGACAAACAGAAGGAGCAAAAAGCAAGCAGTTTCTTAAACAAGCCTCAGAGGCCATGGTAATAGAAAGGACGCGAAAGTGACGCTGGTGGCTCAGTCATGAGTAGTGTGTCTCTTACTGTTTCTCGTAATCAAACTTCCTCATGATTTCGATAAACCTTGGTCTTGCGAGTTTTACATCTCCTAGAGAAGGAATCAGCCGACCATGTGTATACAGTGCCATCTTGATATCCTAGAAAACAGGAAATTCCTGAGTCATAACAGCTCACCACGCTAACATGAAATAAAAAAAACTTCCTAAAGCCATATTCATGCTAAAAACATTTAGAGTCTAGGAATGTTCTGGGTGTTGTGGTATCTGCTTTCACAACATTTTAAGGAAATGATTCAATCAATATTTACTGGGCTCTTATCTGTTAAGACAATGCTTTTGTTTTTTTGAGTTAAGCAAAAATTGAGAAAATTATTATGTTTACATATGGTGGTTTGAGTAAGAATGGTGCCTATGGGCTCATATATTTGAATGCTTCTTAACCACGGAGTGGCAGTATATGAGGACTTAGAAAGACTAGGAGGTGTATGTAGTCTTGTTGGAAGTGGACTTTAAGGTTTCAAAAGCCCATGCTTTTGAACCTAGGTGTTCTTTCTCTTTCTCACCCCTACCCCCAACCTCCTGCTGTTGGTGGATCAGGCTGTAAGCTCTCAGCTGCAGCCCCATTAAAATGATAATGCAATAACCCCTTGAAACCATAAGCCAGCCCTGGATTAAATGCTTTACTTTATAAGGGTTGCTGTGGTCATGGTGTCTCTGCAGCATTAGAACAATGACTAAGACAACAGATGAGAAAACTGAGCTTCAGTCAGGCCACTGAGATGCTCTTTTTCTTTCAGTATAGCTTCCTCTGTTCATTCCCAGAGACAGAGGCCCTCCTTGTTGACCCTCTCCTAGCGGCAGAAAGAGGACTTGCTTGTGGACAGCAGTCTCCTGTCTTCTCTAGTGAAAGGCGGAGCTCATTCTGTAGATTATTTTGGGGTAGGGGTGGGAAAGAGCGAGCCAGGGTGCTTTGGCAAATAGAGAAAGAGATCGGAGATGGGTACTGTTCTAGCCTGGAAAGAGATAGTGCGTCTTGGTTATCTTGGACTTCATGTTGCACATTCAGTTTCCTGTGGTAGAAGCAAGGCCTTTGTCAGAAATAGCTCTGGTATACCATGAAATCTGGGTTCATGGTGGTGGACTCAGGGATTGTAAAGTTCCTGTGTCCCATGTAATAAACATATAGCCACCAACACTAAGAGAACACAAGAGTTAGGCCAATTAACTGGTGAAAAACTAAATAAATTTCAAAAAGCTCTTTTCTGAATGTCTGGCTATGGGTCGGACTTTTGGGTCTTCATGGGAACATCTGTTAAATTCTTTGGTACTCTGAGACCATGCAGCTTAAGAGTTTTTAATTTCATCCTAACAAGGAAATATGGATACTTCTTGCAAATCCAAATTTCTGGTTGCAAAGGTTTACTTATTTCATCAGTGAGAGGTCTACTGATTCAAACTTCAGTGCTTTTTATTTTTTGTTTTACATTTTCTGGATTAGTCAATAAATATAAAAAGACTCACTGCAGATTACATGTTAATATTTCTCAGTTAAGAGCATATATTAAGCTTCAAATTAATGAAAAACCAATGGATCCAGACTCCAGGAAGTTAATACACACCATCTTCATAAAGTGGTTTATAAAAGATGAAAAGACCAGTTTCGCTACCTCAAAACACAATGGTATTCAAGCCAGTTCTTTTCCCTTAAACTATCTGAGGAAGATGGAGGGCACAAAATGCTTTACAAATTAAAAGTTTTTAAAGGGACTGGACTTAAATCTTTTCCTCTCCCCTGCCGCTATCCAAATGGAAGAGGAAATAGTACTTCCTAAGGGGGATTCTCTTCTTAATCCATCTAGTGTACTATGAAGGCAGATATCAATAACATGGCTATCAAAAAACATTACAGAATTGTTTTTTCTGCTCTCATCCAATTCACTAAGCAGTCTTCCCCAGCACCGACGGAAATTTTCCAGGCCCTTGAAACAGCTCTGGGGATGGGGGACCCAGAATTATGATTGCAGGACAGTAAATACTGAAATAATGAAAAGTGACAGCCAATATTTTTGGCACCTGCTGTTTGCAAGTCTTTCACTACCCTCTCCTTGATTAAAACAGACAACTTTCCCAGAGGTTTTTTACTTATTTTTGTGGTGTTGGGATAAAAGCCGGGGCTTCAGGCATGGCAAGTGCGCCATCCTAATTTCCGAAAGAAGGCTTTCAACAAGCGTTGACATGGAAGATTTTTGCCGCAACCACCTTTTGATCTAAAAGTTAAGGAAGTTCAAAGTCACCCAACCGATCACATCTCCGTCCCTGTACAAGTAAGTGCATTTGTGTAGGTGCATGGCTTGCAGGGTGTTTTACAGTGCGTTGTATTCTTAAGTATATTTTCGAATTGACCTTCAGAATTTTACCCAACATTCTCACATGATTTATCCAGCACTGGTGTAAATCAGGTTCCCAGGTAATCAAAAGAGTGAATGTCTTTAAGAATCCATCACAACCCGTCGCTAGACCAGGACAAACAAAATCAATAAAAGAAATCCCAAACAGAACGAGAGCAGTAGAGGTCGGGCCGTGTGGGGCTAGGTGAGAAAGTAATCCTAATTAAAGACAAGGCTTGTAAAACGTCCTCGAGAAAAAAGAACAAGCTACATTGAACCTGGAGGAGACTTCAGGGCTACGTGGGTAGGAACTGGAGACTCGATCACGGCCTGCATAAAGTCGGGGCCCCGGTTTGTTTTCTCTACGTGCTCAGATCCTTCCCGTGTACCACCTCCGAAGGGGCGACCCACACCGCCCCAGCTTCCCGCCTACCTGCGGCGCTTCTCCATCTCCCCTCAGCACCGCACCAGCAGCCCTCGACTCAGACCCAGGCTGCGGCTTCGGCGCCGCCATCTTGGCGCGTCACGTGACGGTCTGAAGGGCGTGGCCGGAGCGCCCGGGGCGGGACTTGAAGCTGACTGACGGTCGCTCCCCTGGCCGCGCCGGCTCCCACCCAGTTAAAAGCCGCGCCCCCAGATGGGCGGAGATTGGGCGTGGCGTTCGGAAACTGCGATTGCTCATTGGCTCCGAGGAAGGCGCAAGCTCCCGCGGGCCCGCCTCCGGCCCGCCAGGCTCGTCCTTCGCCTGCAATTTGTCAGCCCGGCCGCCTCTCGGCCAACCTGGAGGGAACCTGCGTCGGTTCGGGCTCAGGCCTGTTGCTGCGCGGCTTCTTCCCCGGGCGGCTGAGGTAGTCGAGCGCTGGCAGCTCGCTCCTCCGGCCTGGTCGGTGTGTTAAGGCTGTGGCTTCTCGGGGTCCTCCCTAGAGCCTCCCGGCCGCCTCCCTCGCGCGGCCAGAGCGGCACGGACTAGCCTGCTCGTCCCCGTCTTCAGTCCCCCTCACAGTCCACCCTCCAGCCCCGCTCCGAAAGGGTCCAGTTAGAAGTCCCCTCTCCCCCTCTTCCCCAGAAGAGCCCCGGTCGACCAGACTTTCAGGGGTGGACGGTGCTGCGAGGAGGCCAGGCGCGCTTCCGCGCACGTGAAATGCCCAGCAGCGTCTCCCAGACCAGCAACCCCCGACCCTCCAGTCTCCATGTCTTAGACAAGCCAAATTCGAGAGTTATATAATTTCTAGTGCTGCTGTTTCTCTTGCCCGAGGAAACACTTCATCGCGTGGAGGGTGCAGGACATTTCGGTGCTCTTCTGTATAAGATCGGGGTGTGGGCAGGGGTGGCCAGCGGTGGCAGAGAAATGCCTTTTCTGCAAAAGGAAGGTGGGTAGATTGGAGAGAGAGACTGAGAAAAGGGTGGATGTGGAAGCCAAACAGCCGCACTCCCATTTAGGATATCGCGGACTATTTGCATAGTGTGTGATCGCATGCCTAATACTACTACAGCGTTTCTGAAAACACCTTTGGGGGAAGGTTTGGTTTTTCCTTTCCAGCAGCCTCGGTGTTTTTCTTTGCCGGCTAGGGAGCTGCTTGGATGCTAAGAGATGGCAGGATGTGAATGACTCCAGTGTGAAGAAGTCGGCTTCGCCAAATCATCCTGCATCAAGTGCCCATTGAATAGCGCTGTCACTTTAATGTCTCCACGCCAAGGGATTGTTTTCTTTCTTTTCCATCCCCTCGGTTAATACACGGGAGGATCAGAATCAGAGGGGCATTAAGAATCAAGCACTGGGGGCTTGGAGAGCACAGAAGAAAAATATCCAAGTGACAAGCTGGATCCTGTTTTACTGACGGGGTGAGATCCGGAACCATTAAACAGAAGGGGGCCTTTGCATCTCTGTTCTGCCCCAGAAACTGTTCAAACTCACACACCCTTTAAAAGACTAGAGTCAGACGTTCTTAAAAGTATTTTTGAAGGAGCGAGTTTAAACTTTTTTCCTTAGAATTGATGATCTTTATTACCAACCATTTTGATCATGTATAAAGACAACGATCCTAAAATTGGTTTGTGCCTTAAGTGAATTAGTCATTGAACATCCAAAAGTATTGCTGCCGGAAGAGAGAAGTTTTAACAACATTTTCTATGCATACAATAACTTTCTCAACTTTTAAAACAAGAGCACATATTTTACAAATATTGAAAAACTTATTTTTTTTTCTCTGAACGCCGTGGGCAGTGTAAAGTGTTTGGTTGTGGAAAAATGCATCGTTATTTTCTTTATTTGAAATAGAGAAGACTCAGCCTGGATATCAAGGCTGAAGCGGGAAGTGGTTTGCAACAGTTAACCTGGCTCCACCTCAATTCAGCTGGATCAAGCAGAGTCTTGCAAAGAGATCTCGAGTCCAGTGTCAGTGGAGAGACCCAAGAATGCCAGTCAAGAAGAAAGGTGGGCTATCAGGTTCATATACAGCATTTGCGTTTTCATTTTCCTGGCTATGGTGTTTATAATTTATATTGCATTCTATCGGAGAGCAAAATATTTGCCTGGTTTTGAGTAAATACTCTTTGCAATACTATCTACTCAGTAGTACTTTTCCGGTAATATTTTCATATAGTAAAATTAAGATGCTATTGTACACATGTGAATTAATAAACCAGGCAGTTGGTGTCACCATTTACAGTCAGAATAGATTCAGTGCTATAGATGTGGGGTTTTCCTGAGTTTGTTAGAGCTCAGTTTAAATAATACTTAAGAAACTGGTTGATGGAGCTCTTCCCATAAGCTTAATATTTATTGAATAATTATGTAGTTGTAACAGATAGTAAGGTGATTATATTTACCCTGAGCAAAATTATACCTTTAGAATTTATAGTTAAAATAGACTTTATATTTGAGTTTATTACACTGTAAGCCTTCACTGTTGTGGTAATTCACAACTATATGATAATTTAGTCCTCATTATTCAATAACATGGTTGGGAAGTTCCCTCAAATAAGGCATGCTCTTGCCTTTTTCTTCCTATCAATAACTGTTGTCACTTTGATCAAAATCCGGTGGGGATTCTGGAACATCATTTATTATAGATCAGATCTTAAGGGTTCACTTTAGCCTAGATCTACCTGAGATGAACTTTATTCCATAGGATCTTAGTGAAATCAGGCCTTTCTGTTTTTTAAAGATGACATCAGTAATAAACTCTATGAAGAGTTTTGAATCAAAAATAAGAATACCCTTGAAATGTATTGTTCTGGGCTAATATAAGTCCAAATGTTGTTCAGTTATGCTGATTGCTACAATATTGAACCCGAGGCCACCCTAAGACATATTTTCATATAAAATCTAGAGAATTTATATGGCCTTTTTATGTTGCTTAATCCATCTGCTTGTGGGTTTGGAAGACGTATTGAGAAATCACAGTCAATGAGATGCTTTTGTCTAAAACAGTCTGTGTAAAAGAGCACAGTGCTATCTAAAACTATTGAAACATATAGAATTATGCTTTTGCACCCTGAAATCAAAAAGTAGGCTTGCTTCTTCCTCTATAAGACGACTGGAAGGGGTGAGCTGTTTTTGATACTTTGGAGCTGTACTTAGCCATATTGGTAGTTATTGGTTTATGTGCAACAAGAAGGAAAGGCTTGGGAAATGTGGCCCATAAACAATGTCCTTGATTTCTTTAACACAGTGTGTGTTTTTACTCTTCCTACCATTTCTGCAGACAATTTTCTTGAGTACCTTATTATTATAAATGACAGAGAGAAGGAAGAGAGGAGGGAGGGGGCAAGAGAGGAGGAGAAATCACAATTAATGTTCTAGGTGTAACTTTATGTAAGCAGAGTGAACTTAAGGGGTCTAAAGACAATAGACTCAGTTTCTTAAAAGTTATGATATTTTAAAAACTCCTAGAATTTGCTGCCATATTATTGAAAGTTAATGCTTTATGAGAAAATGTTGCATCTGTTATATTTGTCTTCCTTTTTGCTTTAAAAGGTGAGTTGATACAATGGTTTGAAATTTTAAAGGCAAGTTCTTTTAAAGGGTACATATTGGACTACCACTAATGTATCAGCATTATGGAAATAATTTAATGAATTGATCTAGGGAACTTATATTGTTTTTGATCTTAAAAACTTGTTAGTATTCACATATTTTAGGTAGAGACAAGTAGTCAATTATTGCATGGGTTTTGTATTTTAATTGCTAAGTTTGCTGTATCGACTGCTTTTACAATATAAGAAAAGTGTTTTGAATTTTAAATTAAATTCTAAGGTCAGATCATCCTTCATTCTTCATCTTTATCCTTCATTGAAAGCCTTTCTCGATTTATTGTTACATGGTATGGATATGCGAAAAAGAGCTGGACGTGTGATGTAGAATAATTATCCCCATTGGGCCAAGTGTCTACTCAGACCCAAGTGTCAACGATACCCTCACCAGAACGTATTTTCATGTGGTGCTTACTTTGCTTATTTCTCCATAGTAGAGAGGCGTGGGAATGGCTGTGAGGTCTCTCCACACCCATTGGAGGGACCTGTTCTTGGCCAGCAGCAACTGCTCACCTCACTCATGCCCTTCTGCTTTGTGGCCATTATGGCTGCTCTTCCTGCCTTTCTCCTTCATGGTTTTTTATACAGACCTCAGTTTTATCAGCTGAAGACTCTTCTGTTTTGTTGTTACATTTTTTTCTTGATTTTTTTTTACTTTTTTTTATTTTTATTTTTATTTATTTTTTTTTTTTCAAGACAGGGTCTCTCTGTAGCTTTGGAGCCTGTCCTGGAACTAGCTCTTGTAGACCAGGCTGGCCTGGAACTCACAGAGACCCACCTGCCTCTGCCTCCCGAGTGCTGGGATTAAAGGCGTGTGCCACCACCGCCCGGCTTTTTTTTTTTTTTTTTATCCTAGATTCTATTTTCTATAGTGGTAACTTGATTTACTCCCACCCGAACCTATAGGACACTCTTTGACATATTTTAGTAAAAATGTAGAGTTAACCCAAAGTAAGATAGGACGCAAAGTTAAGATGTGATGCAAGGGCAAGGGTTGAAGAAGCTTCTCGAATTGAAAGAACTTCGTATTAAGTTATTAATCTTAGAAAAAAATGTTAGCGACAGCTTGGGCTTCTTGCTTTCAGTAGGCAGTTGTCATTTCAAGTTGTCCCCGTGTAACTGTTTAGTGCAATGCAGTTTCATTCTTGGACATTTTTGTCGTAGTTATTATATACAGGAAGGAAATCATTCCGTTTCATGGGCGGCCATAGATGCCCCTTTCACCTCTGTGGTTTTGTAAAATGCTCTGGCTCTCTAGTTGCCTCCCGGTATCTTTATGCTGACTTACAGCGGCCCCGATATTAGTCATTTCCAGGATACCCTTCCCCTCTGAATTCTTTTCATGCAGTCGTTCTCAGTGTTCAAAGTGGGCACAGATAGAGATGTTTACCATGGATGGCTACATTGTTTTCATGTTCATTCTTTGGCAGTAAATCTTCAGGAAGCTGAATAGTACATATTCTGTTACGTATAACTTAGAGTTCCACAAATGCTGATGTTCTGTAGCTTATGAGCACCCTTAACGTTGCGATTGGTATTTCCTGGCCATAATCTTTTGTGGCTTTGTTTTTGGATGACTGTATTCCTAAAGGTGTCACTTCCGAGTTTACTTGGTAAGGGGACTTAGTAACTGTTCCCCTTATCCTTTCTTCATTTAAAGTTTTCTTCCTCCATTCCTTGTTTCTAGCACTAGTTGGAGTGTATCTCTGATTTACATTTGCCTCCTGTTATTATCTATGTCTGCTTTCCCCATCTCTATCCTTTTTTTTCCCCCTGCACTCTTGACCTGTCTGCTTCTGTCTCTGGTGTGCGGGGATTACAGATGTGTGGTACCACATTTGGCTTCTAGCTTGTCTAAAGTTAAAGAATCTTTTGGAAGTTATAGATAGGAATACATACACATGAACTTATTGTTGGTCCCAAATGGCTGATGTTTTCCCTTTGCATTCCAGTTTCTAAATTTATCTTTGATCTTTGTTGTTTACCACGGCAGGGCTTTATCTAGATGCCTTTCCTAGCTCACAAAACTTCATTTTCAGCTTCATTTTTCTCAAAACTAATAAAAACTCAAAAGAGGTATGCCTGGATTTGTTCAGAAAAGGTTGAAAAAATTATCAAAGGTTTGAGAGTTCCCTAAGTAAATAATTTACTTAGGATGTCTCTTTGGACTTTAAATTCTCTGAAGTCATTATCTTGGTGTTGGTGGAGAAGGTTTGGAAATCATGAAGTAATATATTCTTGATGTTGGAACATAACTGTCAATCCAGGAGGCATAATGAGAGAATATTCTGGACAGAGAAATAAATAATAGTTTTTGTGTTCACATGCTGATTTAGACATATGTTGTTAGGAATCAAGTGACAGTCATGAGGTAAATTGATCTATTAATTGTTTTTATTTTGTACATATCATATATTGTAAGTTGCAAATAATATAGTAAAGACTTGTAATAGTAATGACATGTCACACATAAGATGTAGGTTCTGGGGAAACTGCTCAGAACTCCACTCAAAACAGAACATTGAATCTTCATTTTAGATTTGCTACTACTTACTGTTCTGGGTAGCAGTCTAGTCGGTGAGAATCTATACATAGAGCATTGGATTTAAAAAAATGTTGAATTAAGGCACTCAATTCATTCCTCTTTGGTCCCTTATTATTATATAGCGATATTCCCTGAACTGTAAGATCACTATTCTTTTGTAACCATATGTTCTCTTTATATCCCCTTTTTATATTTACAGTCATCATGCCAACCCTCACTAAGTATTTTATCATAAGGCTGAGATGCACAACACCTTTTATATTGCAAGCTCAGAATCTATTTCCTGGTCACAGTTCCAGCTCAGGAGTTTGTAGCAGTGAAGATACAGGGCTCTGCATCTTCAATGTAGGTTGCTTTGTCAGCAAGGAATCATGAGTTTTACCCAGACTCTTCTGTCCACTCAGTCATTTCAAATTCCAGCTAGTAAGCTTTCTGTATGGGCTCAATTTTTAGTATGTTTTGCAAAGCTATTTCAAGAATTTTGTCCAAGTCACCTCTAATATGAAACAGTTGTTCCGACACCATTTATTTTAGTCATTTCTAATCAAGAGCTGGCCATAGTGCCTCACATCTGTTATCCAGTTTCTTAGGAGGACTGGTATAAGCTGAGGTTACCCAGGGCTACACAGTAAGCTCCAGACCAGCTTTGACTTCAGAGTTGAGATCCTGTCTCAAAAACAAACCAACAAACCAAAAAGATCAATGCAAAGTAAAAAAAAAAAATCCTGTGAAAATAAATTACTTAATTTAAACTTCCAAAGAGAGTATGGATAAAATTTTGTATCCACTCTCTTTGGATGATACTATCTTGGTGACCCCCATGGTTCTGCCCAACACTGTTGGGGTATGAGTCT